GAAGGGGCTTCAATGCTATAAGGATACTATACAGCGAGGCTACTGAAAATTGGCCACTAGCTGTAGGGCACCACTGTATACAGTCACTGCCCGAAGAGGGTAAGGGAGAGGAGTGAATAAGGGTCGAGAGGGTCAAGAACGCAGCAATTTCTTCCTCCACCAAAAGTCTTCTGAAAATTGGATTCCAGGCCCTGGTGGAACCCCGGGTTTCGAAATGGTCTGCTACAAGAGCCCGAGGGTTCCTGGCTAAGAGGAATAACCTAGGGAAGAGGGTTTTTAAAGGTGAGTGGCCTGTCCAACAGTAAAACCAGAACTGAATTCGATTCCTTTCCCTCGGGTGGAATCGAATGTTGACGCAGAAAATAGAGTGACACGTGATGACTGATCACCAGAAGCCCGAGGGGCGACTGGAGGTGGGGAAGGAAGTGGTACGTAAGGCGAGAATGGACTGCCACAAGTGGTTGTTAAGGGTGGCTAGTCTCCACCACCACTTGCCTAGGAGGGCGAGATTGTTGAGTCTGAGGATGCGAATACCAACTCCCCCTTCACTTTTTGATCGGCATATTCTTTCCCATAAGATCAGGTGAAACTTGTTTGTCCCACCCTCACCTGACCATAGAAAGTTCTTCATCAGTTGATCAAGCCATGATGCTACCAAGGTTGGCATGTTGAGCGTAGACATCTGGAATATTGGGACATTGGATAGCGTGGCTTTGAAAGGCTCTTGAGAAGGTGGAGAGTGGAGGGGGATTGAGAAAGTTAGGGTGGTGCCCAAGGGGAGGGGAGTGGGACGAGGAGGAGAGGGGGGGTACCGAGATCACAGGGGAGGGTGAGAAAAAAGGGTAAATGGAAGTTGAAAGGCTAGGGAAAGAGGTTAGGGGGACAGGGTGGGAACATGGATTAGATGAGTGGGATGGGTGGAGGAGAGGTTTCCGTAGAGCAATGGGAAAGGAGGTAAAACTAGGGTAGGAAGAGGAGAGGTGGGTGACATTTCATTTGATGAGTTCATGAAACTCATTTCGGTTGGGCTCGTCTAAAATGTGATGTCCAAGAACAACTTACTGTTATCACATAATTTTCTTATTCTTTCTTCTGATCTCTAGTGGTCAAGCTTAAGAATGTTCAAGTGAAAAAGAAAACGATAATAAGGCACTCCATTTCTTGATGTTCGGATCATCTTCATCTGTCCCTGATTTTCACCAATAATGGATGCAACCCTCGGTTTTCCTTTAAGGAAATAGTGTGAGTATAACTAAATAATTGTGTTGATTATTATAAGAGGTATATTTTGCATGCTAGTCCTACCATTCTGACTGAAATAACATACTCACTTCCGACTGTAAAAGAAAACTAGTTCCAGTTAGAGAAGGAGATCCTCTTGAGATGGTCTCCAAGACAGGTTACCGTTTCATTTCACAGGGCAATAAGTAGAAGGAACCAAAAGTTTAGGATCTATATCCATAAAACTTATTTTAGGAGAAAACCCATGTAACAACGACAGAATCCCCACAAACTGTGTAGGTTTGAATAAGTGAATCTCTAGGCTCAGATACAACTTAAGGAAGTTATTGATCAAAACATACACTATAAAAGAGAATATGAACAGAAAACCACCCAACAGTTAAAAAATTGGAAACTCTTTGAAATTAAAACTCCCCAGTTAGTTAATAGAAACTATAGAAACCTGTTTTTCTGTTTTCTTCGTAAATCCCATTTTTCCATTTTACGGTTTAGTGCACCAAGCCACAGCTTGACCAAAAATTTGGATGGTGTTAGGCACTATGGGTTCAATATCTCTGCTTTTTCTCTTAGGTAGTTCAAGGGTACGTATCAAACTTGTGATATAATATTGCACTCATCAACACGTTAACTAATCTTGTCCAAGCCCGAAACATACATTGAACATATCATTCATTGCAGCAATGTTTCAAAAAGTGCTAGGCGGCTGGGGGGGTCTAGACCGCCGAGCGCCTAGGCCGGTGCCCAGAACCTGGGCGGCCCAGTAGAAAGAAAAATGTTAATTTAAGTGTCTAACAGTATAATTATATAATACATAATCCATAATCCATAATCCATATTTCCATGAATGCGGAGAATTTAGATAGTCCATAATTCATATTGTCATACAATGCTAGAACCATACAAGCGTACACACAAGAGTTAGATAGTATAAACTAGAAACTAAAAATAAGAAAAGAAATATACAGAAATTTAGAAATTATACAGTTTAGGACTCAATAGTCACACCAAGAGTCAAGCGTTTTCAACTCTTCATTCTTCAGTCATTGTCAGGAGGAGGGTAAGCCTCATCATATGCATCAGATTCGAGGCCATCATCATCAGAGTCATCTCTCTCTTCAACATAAAGCCGTCCTCTTCTGTTTCTTCTGAATCTCCCTCTTCCTTCTCTTCTTCTACCTCCCTCTTATTTTTTTTGAGAGATTTTTTTTTTTTTTGTATAGAAGTTCTACCTCCCTCTTATTCTGTATAGATGAGGCCCTAGGTGTCTTGGTTGCTTTACCTAATGCCTCTTCACCCTTTTCTTTCTTTTTGTGCTTCCCTGAACTCAAATCAATGTTTTAAAAAATGGTCCGCTTGGTGCCTAGGCGGCCTGGACAAAATATCCGCCCGCCTAGACCCAGGCGGTCCTACACAAGCGGATATACCTGGGTGGGCGCCCAGGCGGGCTAGGCGAGCGCTCAGGGCGAATGTACCTGGGTGAGCTCCCAGGCAGGCTAGGCGTTTCTCTTTTTTTAAAACTACGGGGTGTCCGAGGTTTTGGGCGCCCGCCTAGGCGCTAAGTGCCAAGCAGGCAGCCTAGGAGCCGTCTAGGGTTTTTTGAAACATTGACTCAAATATTGTATATCTCCTCTCTGGTAGCCTCATGAACCCCCTTAATACTGGCAAGATGTTTTTTGAACTGGTAAATACCCCCATTAGTATCCTTTCCACAACAATTACACCTAATACGATTTTTGTCATTTGGATTTGGGTTATGACCATACTTCCAACCTGGATCACCACTTCTAAAAGTATTTGGAGAAGATATTTCCAGAGAACAAGGCTCAATTTCATCCTTTTCTGGTTCTACTAAATTCAAATATTGTCTAATCTCACCCCGAATAGCTTCAGGAACTTTTTACAAGAAGCAACATTACCCTTAATATTGGCAAGGTGTTTTTTGAATCGGTTATATGGGTATGCCCCCATTGGTATCCTTTTTACAAGAATTACACCTTATTCAATTTTTGTCATTTGTTTTCGGGTTATAACCATACTTCCAACCCGAATCACTTCTTTTAGCAGAACCGGAAATAGACCTATCCAAATAACAACGATTTTGTTCCTGTTTGTGTTTTATTGAACTCATATATTGGTTAATCTACTCTCTGCTAGCTTCAAGAACTTTTTTACAATGGGCAACATTTCCTTTAATACCAGCAAGATGTTTCTTAAACTGGTTTATGCCCCCTTTTGTATCATTTTTATAATAATTTCATCTTATGCAATTTTTGTCATTTGAATTCGGGGTATATCTATAATTCCAACCCGGATCACCACTTCGACTAGATCCTGAATAAAACATCTCAAAATAATATAAGCAATTTAAAAAATTAAGTTTTGCACTTTGATTGCTCGAACTCCAAACTTCCACCTTTGAGATGTTTTTTGGTGTTAAAATCTTCAAAAATACCCTCTAATAGTCCTAGAAAAACTCCAAAACTAAATCTAATCTTAATGAGTGATGTTTGGATCTATTTCCTGTAACTTTGAGAAAGACTTCGATCCAATGAAAATCATAAAATCGAGTTTTTTTTGAGGTTTCTCTCTCTAAAATGGGCTCTGGTGGGTTTAGGTTTCAAATGAACCTAAAACCCACTTTTAAAAACAATTTTTTTTCAAAAAAACCCAGACAAAACCCTCAACAAATAGTATTTCTGCCTTGGGCGGGCCGCGGGCCTTGGGTGGCCGGCCAGGGCTAAGTGTTGGATGCCTGCCTAGGCGGCCGCCCGGGGACTGTGTGCCTAGTTTGGCCGTCTAGGCCTGGGTGATGCGTCAGGCCCTCTGGACCACCTAAGCGTTAGGCAGTCCGCTTTTTAAATCATTGCCTTGAAGAAATATTTTGTGAGCTTGAAACAGGTATCCATTGGGGGTTGTCATTTCCAATGGCTTTAACCTTCTTCATTGCAGTGAGATGAGAAGCAGGTGGAAGTCTTGATGATTAGCTGCTTTGGTACCATGTAGAGACTTGGGATGAGAGATGTATGGAGAAAACGCTAAAAATGTACTCATTGAATTATGGTTCTCAAAAGTAGTAAAAAAACTGCAAATATGTCCCTAAGTGGACATAAAACAATCAATAATTTTATAAATCTTCCGAGACATCACCATCATGAAAGACTACTGAGATCTGTCCCTATTTGTAGGGATGTTAAGGATTGCTCTGAGACTAGGTTCTTGAAATCCGAATGCATTTCAACACTTTCTTGCAGAACAGTCAATCTATGAGAATGTGATAAGAGTAGCCATCATGTCATTTCTTTACGGTTGAATCCTTAGGCATTCCCTATGGAGCATCCAACTTATGTAACATATTTTTCCAGGGGAAGTATTTCATGCACTGGTGGCATATATGTACACTAAGAGGGGGCACCCACATCCCAATGATGAACAGTGGTATTAACTGTTGTTCCTGATGATGGACTTTTGCTACAGTTAGTCTAAACTGCTGACCATCAGTAATGGACAGTGGATGCCCTTTTGGTGCATTTATGCCTTAGACCACCCATGTATGATATGCTTGCATGTTCTAAATGTTACATTGGGCCTCATAATTTGGGTTTCTCCTGCTAAGAACCAACATGCATAACAGAACATAACTAAAGCAAAACAAACCATGTTCCTGATGCAGGTTCATGCATCATGATCGCACTGTATATTATTAAATTCATTCACAGTGCTAAGTAGTGGCAAATAATGATATTTTGGGTCTCATGCAGATACTTCCGGTGAATATCAAGGGACTTGCTGGTAGTATTGCAACATTAGCTAATTGGCTGACATCATGGGTTATTACAATGACTGCTAATCTGCTTCTAACCTGGAGCTCTGCAGGTGAACTACATACTATGACATACATACATTCGTTACATGTATACATATTTTGCTTTGATCTAATTCCTCTAGACTTATATGAACCATTTTTATGTTGTTATGGCAGGAACATTTACGATATATGCATTTGTCAGTGCTTTCACTCTGTTATTCATTGTACTATGGGTACCAGAAACTAAAGGGAGAACTTTGGAGGAGATTCAGTCATCTTTTAGATGAGCCCCATTTTGATTGATTCTTTGGCTTGGAAATGTGTGGTAATCATCGTCTGCCGAGAGTTAGATTGTGCAGCATTTGGGGTGTATGTCAATCGCCAAAGGCTTGGCCATTGCTCAAACCTCGCTTTCAGCAAACACTTTCTCCTGTAAAATTCTTGAGAACAAGGAGATAAGTCTCTGTGCCCCCTTGTAAGTGACATTCAAATCACCTCCTTTTCCAGCCGTGTTTCAATTGTATTTGGACCTTTGTTCATAAGGTTTCCTTAATGTGTAGAAGAATGACCACTTTATTGGTCCTATTATGCAAGTGCACATTTATCAATATTTTGTGTGCTATTTTTCATATTTTTGAGTTTGAGGTATCCAGGAGTTTTGGTATGGTCTTGCTTTTTTTTTTTGCCAAGATGCGCCAATATTGTTTGCGCAAATAACTTGGGGAGCATATTGTATGGGAAACGTCCTCCATATGAAGACTCTGAAGGGCCTGATCTATATGGTCTCATGTTTTAGAAAATAGTGGTTAATTATAACAATATTGATTCAAACTTAGTTGAGGGAAGCTCTGGTTTGACAAAGGCGGAGATCAGCCCCTTTCATAGTTTAACACAGGATGAGATGCTCTGATAATTAGGGGTTCGTTTGTTTCGTCAGATATCTCTCTATGCAAGGGAGATTTCTGCGAAACCAGATGCATACCTAGCAAGCATGAAGCCACCTTTTCCCCATCTGGTGGCGTGAATATTTTAAATTTCCTGTTTGCTATTTACCCATGAAACAGACATGGGAAAGCGGCTGGGTGTAAGATTTCCCACTAACCAAACCTGCCTGCGCCCTTGTAGAAAGAAGATGGATTTGCCAGTTATCAATGGGGGAACTGAGAGCTTCCATGTAAGGCAGGAGGGTGTATGCCTGACATATGCTCTTTGTTCATGTCTTTGTGAATTGAAGTGTTAATTCCTCAGTCAGATTACAATGGCAACCAGATGATTGCACCAAGACCACTTATTCAAGGGCACGAGGTGGACGGACGTATACGCTGATACGCATATATGCCGGCGCATGCTTGTTTATATATATGGAAAACCTACAACGTGTTCATCAATGTTCAAAATTTATCACAAGGTCATAGATGTCTGATAGTGTTTGAATTTT